TTTTTTTTTTTTTTTTTTTTTTGCTCTTCATTTTCCATCTAATAGTTGAATTGAATCGTAAATTGTACAGTTCCGAATGTAATCGTTAAAATTCGTCAACGTGGAGCACACTTAGATATGCGTTAAGGAGTATAACCATATTTTGTGCTTACTGACATTTTTTCATACACGTTAAGATGACAAATGTTTTTTTCATTCGTAGTTTCGCGAAGAGTGTAAAAAGTATATATAGAATTACGTGAGAATAGGTTAGATATTACAATATGTTCAGCTTGAATTATAAGGTGAGGAGCATAGAAATAGTATAACAAAATATATGAAATATTTATAAAACAGCCGCTTTCATTGACATTTGTGAAATCGTGATGCTAGAATGAATGTGAATATCGTACATCGTATCATTTACACCGTGTTATCGAAATTCGAATAATTATTTAGAAAACATTGGTATTTGTGTCCGCCGTTTGTGCGCTCAAGGAATGAGAATGTACGTAGGTCCAATTTTTATATTCGTTGAAATACAATATTATAGAGATATTGAATCCGATACTACAAGCAGACGAATCAGTTTTTTAATCATTTCACAAATGACGATGAAAGGTGAACGAATACAATTGTCGTGCATGGCCAAAGCCGTGCCTTATCACATATTTTTTTGATAGCGGTATACTATTTACATTGAATTTCTTCAAGAGATACTTACAATTGGATATACATCCCCCGTGTAATAGTCTCGTATGATACATTAATTTGAAATCAATCGTTTGAATTTACCTTTCGTCAACGTACTCATTACACGTTACCTATCGTAAAATCAACATTGTTTTGTTTAATGTGATGATAAATTGCTACTTTACAATATTACTACTATCTAGTCTGGACGTCAGCGGATACATTGAAATTTCTTGTGCATATTATTGCTACGCTAAAGTTTAAAACTTTGTCCTCTTCCACCGGTAAGTTTAAAGTCTTCCGATCTGAAGCAAAGACTTAGCGATATCAAACGTTGAACATTCTGTCCATATGTGTATATTATTTGAAAATAGTACGAATGCTCTTAAACGATACATTTTGCTGATTTATTTACAGCAAAGTTACATCCGCGAGAGAACATCTTTAAACGAACGGTATATATATATATATATATATATATATAGTTTCTGTTAACTAGATGCAATCAATCACAGCAACACATATGCGCATGG